ATAACATCAATATTTCATTCTTATAACAATTTGTACAAGTACATCGAAAAGAGAGGCAAACTTATAACATTACAAGCATCGGACTGTATATAAACTGGTACAAACTATATGTAAATAAACTGTAAAAAATCACACTTACTGTTTACATATGCAATAACTGGAAAATAGTTTCCAGTGTTGAGGGCAATAGGAAGGAAGAGAGTGAAGATTACAATCACACATGCTAGGTATAAAGAAAAAAGAGGAAAGATAGAACCTGAAAATCAAAGTGAACTATTGTGACCTGGTATTCATGACTATGAGGTCAGGATAGCTGTTGTAGAGCAGAGTATCTTCGGGGAGAGAGAGAGAGAGAGAGAGCAGAGAAGTAGAGAAGTAGAGAAGAGGGAGAGCAGAGCGGAGTAAGGGAAGAAGCGAGGAGAGACCTGAGATGTTTTGGAGGCAGGAGACTGCCTTTTATAAGCTAAGGGAGGTGCCTTCGTCGCGAAGGTAAGGGTGAAGGAAAAGACCGCGAAGAGACATAGAGTAGAGGGATATGACATAAAAGAAAAAGACAAAAGTAAAAAGGAAAAAGAATATTCTCTTGGTCGGGAGTGAGGACAAAACGGCATCTGGGAATAGTATTTCTTTTATCGTCTTGTGTCGGTGGCTTTGTCGTTTCCTGTGTACTACAGTTGCTTTTTTGTCTTGTATATCAGTGGGAATAGTAACTTTTTTGTCTCATCTGTCGGTGACTACAGGAGATTGTCGGCTTCTTTTCGTCTTATGCATCGGTGAGGATAGTGATTTGTTCGGCAGGTATGTGTCTTGTCGGTGCATCATAATCATGGTCTTTGGCTGCATTCTTTTGGATCATCCTCTTCTTTTTCGGGATCAGTTTCTTCAAGTGGGAAGTATTTATTGGTGTGTAATGGTGAAGATTGTACGGTTTCATCTGATGATACCGGTTTTCTTCCTGCTTCTGCAAAGATCTCTTTCATTTGTTGTTCCAGCATTTCTTTAGAAGCATTCGGGTTTGATTGGAGCATATTGCGTAAATATGTGGGAAAATCGAATGAAGTATTGGCTGTATTATGGTCACTTGGACCTGGGTTATATATAGGTTTTTGTGGAGGTATTTTTTTGGGAATTATAGTTGTGGGATCCATATTAAAGATGTCCCACCATTTAACTGAGATGGTTTTTCCCAGTCTGGGAATATAGGTATGATCGGCCGTATTATTAACAGAGATGGTATATTCCCATTTCATAATCCATGGGAGTTGGTATAGTGCCACAAAGTATAGGTGATTGTCAATATTATTATCACTATTATTGAACTGCACAAATTGTTCCTGCACTTTTTGGAAAGCAGGAGGTAAAATTGCAGTTGTTGATCCCCAAACTAAAAACCAATTTTTAAACCAGTTAGGGAATCGTTCGAAAATAGGTAATCTGAACTGGATATACCAGCTATGAATATTATTTGGATTTTGATAATAAAACATTTTATGCCAGGCTTCTATATATTCGGCATATTTATAATATTTGTATGAAAAATCAGGATTATGTAATTTCTTTCCTTGAGCAGGATTGCAACCCCACTCATCATAAGAGAGTAATTTCTTAATCTGGATTTTGGAGTAAGCAATGACTCTAGTATTTTGTTGGTAGTAATGGACAACAGATATGGATCCTGCTTCCATGAGAATTGTTTCATAATATTCTCTGGTTTTGACTCCATTGGTTGGGTTCAAATGGTTTATTAAGTATAATGGAACAAGTTTGATGGGATCCATATTTATATGGTGATCATCAATAGTGATATCCATAAGGTAGGCTCTTTCAATGTATGAAGACCTAGGAAAATTAGGCCTCTGATTGGATTTAGACTGTGCTCGAGAATAAGCAGGAGTCGATGTATTAGCTTTTGGGTAGGTAATTTGGTGAATAGGAGAATTGAAAGGTGAAAGGGATGCCAAAGGCGGGAATTCACCTTCAAATGGTATTATATTCAGTAGGCGTTTTTCGTTGCGAGAATTGCTACGAGAACTCATGAGATTAGGTGGATGTGATAGAGTAGTATTATTTCTATTAGCTTCAAAGAGCTGTAGTGCAAGTGAAAGTGGTGATTCTTCGTCGTTGGCGTCAGTGTTGCCCCCCCTGCAAATATTCACGGGTAAGAAAATCAAGAAGAGAATTGGAAGTCTCGAGAAGGTGTTCAATGGTAAAATCAAAGGCGAACAGAATAGCCTGCCAGCGGGCAAATATTTGTTTTGCAACGAGATTTTGAACATCTTTTTGTAGAATATCTTTAGCGGCTTTGCAATCCGTTCTTATGAGAAATTGTTGATTTAGAATATCACTCTGAAATTTTGTAACACAATGAACAATAGCAAGTAATTCTTTTTTGACCATAGAATAATTTTTCTGGGTTGGGTTCCAGGCTTTAGAAGTATACCTGAGCAGTTGTTCTTGATTATCAATGCGTTGCTTGAGAATACCACCCAAGCCTATTTCTGAGGCATCACATTCTATTATCTTGAAAGCATTAGGATGTGGAAGAGAAAGGCAAACAAGGGTTTTTACCTTTTGTTTAATTAGTTGAACTGCTTTAGTATGAATATTTGTCCAAGGTAGAGGATGCTTTTTTAATCTATCATGTAAAGGTTTAGCATCTATGGCAAGATTAGGATAGAAATCACTTACATAGTTTAAACATCCTAAGAACCTTTGAAGTTCTTTCTTATCTAGTATCTGATCAGGGAATTTATCAGCAAATTGTATGGATCGATCTATGGGGATAATGATGCCATGATGAATCATATGTCCTAAAAACCTAATATTGGTTTTAAATGAAGTTATCTTTTTTGCCGATACAACTAATCTAGCATTCTGGACTGCATGTATAAAAGTATTAATATGTTTGATATGTTGATCTATGGATTCAGAAAAGATTAAAACATCATCAATATAAACTATCATGAATTGATAATAAGCATTAAAGACATCATTCATTATTTTTTGAAATTCTGATGGAGCATTTTTTAAACCAAATGGCATTACATTCCATTCATATTGCCCAAATGGTACATTAAATGCTATTTTATATTTATCTTGTTCTTGAATTTGTATTTGCCAATATCCAGATTTCATATCAAATTTGGAAAAGATACAAGCATTGGCTACTCTATCTAATAAATCTTTTTTATTAGGGATAGGATATCTAATCCATCTTAAAACTTTATTAAGAGGTTTATAGTTAATAACTAATCGAGGAACTCCTCGTTCTTTTTCAGCATTTCTATTGACATAGAAAGCTGCACAGCTCCAAGGTGAAGAGCTTGGTCGTATTAACTTTTTTGTTTGTAGGTCATTAATTTCTGTTCTACACATGTCTAATAAAGTAGTGTTCATTTGTATTGGTCTAGCTTTGGTAGGTATTTGTTTTTCATCAAATCCTTGTTCATATGGTAGACTAATACTGTGCTTTTTCCTTTCCCAAAAGGCATTGGGATGCTCACTGCATATAGAGGTTTCTATTTGTTGTTGGATTGCTTGAATCTTTTATTGAATCAAAGGATCTTTTATTTGTTCTTTTATATACTTATATTTAATCTCTTGTTTTAAAGTACAAAGAAATTTTTCTTTATTCTGTAACTGACTTTTGACATTATTGATTTCCTTTAATTTTGGTATCAGAGCCAAACTTACAATATATATATATATATAGGAAAAATATCCTATCAGCCCAATAGCGTATTGCTACGGTAAACACTAACGGCTCAGAATGAATCGGGGCCGATCTGACGATCCTGGATGTCCGGTAGTGTTTGAAGTTTATTTTACTTTTACAAATCGGAATGATCTGAAATTTGGAGCGTGTGTACATAAAAACTAGGAACCTTCGAAAAATATAAAAAAAATATTTTACATGAAAAAAATTGACCAAAGTACCACTGTAAAGTTGCGAGGGTATTTTGTCAAAAAATAATTTGCGGAGTATTTTTTTTATATTTTTATTAGGTGCGCCTTGATGAGAAGAACGTACACCTAAAATTTCAAGTGATTTGGATTAATAGAAAAAAATTAAAATTCAAACAAGAAAAGAGGTCGTGACCGTCAAATCGGCCCAGATTCAATCTGGGCCATTGGCGTTTACTGTAGCGGTCAGCTAGTGGGCGTACTGAATTCACTCTCATATATATATATATAAGTTAAGACTTTTTTGGCCAAAAGTGTCCAAAACACTTAAAAAAACATACAATTTTGTCTGCTAGGGGTACTGACTACATGGATATCATAATCAACCTGTTGCTTTTTTTGGCCTTTTTTAATTTTTTGTTCATCAAACTGGTTTTAATAACTGATTCCAGTTTCATGGTCCAAATTTAAGACAGCGATTCTTGAGCCTCATGTGCATTTGTCTTTTAGAAATATTGCGCATTGCAACATATGTAAGCAATTCAACTCTTGCTCTCAACACATACAGTTTCCCTTCACAAAATCAATAATAATTTGTTTTCAATAAATAAATTGTTGCCTAAGCACTAAGAATCAAAATTACGTAAATGCAAGAAAGAAATAGCATCCATCAACACGCATGAACACAATGAGGTAGCCCTTTCTAAGAGCCAAAAGCTCCCAGTCTGTAGGAAAGGGATCTTCAAGCTGCCAAGGAGCCTCCGGCTTTGTCTAGCATGGGTGAGGGCCATGGCATTAGTTCAAAGAAAGCAAATTTGGCATAGAATTTGACCATTTTAAGTAGAAGCCCACTCTCAGGGAGAATTCGACTTCTGAGGTTCAGGTACGCACAAGAAATAAAATGCTGCTAAGGCAGTGCAAGGAGTGAACATTCCTAACACTTGGTCGAATCCAATTAGATAAGCATAAAAAGAATCTGATGATAACATAGAAAATAAATAAATAATCAGGGTATGAGTAGTAACATAAAAGTTCCATAGATGTTTGAGCATCAAACCATCTCAAAAAATCTCATGACAGAATTCTTCCAATCTTACCCAGTAACTCTAATTTTCTTCTTCTTTGTCCGGCCTATCCAATCCGCGAATTCTATAGTGTTTGGCACCTGCAATGTCAAAGAGCACCTGGCTAGTTGTATCAGATGTTCCATCTAGACCATAAAATATGTAAATATAGGATTGTGATAAGAAAAAAAGGATTGTGATAAGAAAAAAAGGATTGTGAAGTTCAAAGCTAATGCATGAATATGTGATAGATATGCAGCCAGATAATGACAGTTCCATATGGCGTTTCAAACAACAAATCAACATAGAAAATGATAAAATGACTTAGCTTATGAAATTTTAAGGAAAATCACAAGCAAAAGAACAAAACCAAATTAGATATATCCCATGGTTCACATGAACAAAATCCCCTTACCGTTGCAGAAAGTAGGACTATATTGACATGTCTAGGAAGCATGATAATGACTTCTTCCCATACAACACCTCTTTCTACATCATTTACATAGTGCACTTCATCAAATATAACCTGTTTCACCAAATAATGTCAAGACATCCGCAAATCAGAAATATCTACAAGAAAGTGCTGATTTTATTTGAATAAGTGAGCCTACAAAATAGATAATAATTTATTTTATTTAAAAAATAAAAAATAAAAAACTAGTAGCAGCCTTCTTAGAAGAAAAGAAAAGAACAGAGAGATCAATGAAACCAGAAACCATATGAGAAAGAGCTCCTTTACCCATTCTATGTCACGTATAATATCAGCACCTCTATATAGCATTGACCTTAAAATTTCAGTGGTCATGATAAGGCAAGAAGCTTCTGGCCTCAAGCTCACATCCCCAGTAAGGAGACCGACATCAAATTTTCCACAGAAATCTCTATACTTTTGATTGCTGATGGTCTTTATAGGAGCAGTATATACAGCTCGAGTGCAATGCTGCATCAAATACATGTATTTATAATAATAATAGGCAAAAAAACAAAAAGTCAGATGGAGATCATGGTAAAAGAAAAGTAGACAATAATAAGGCTTTCTAGCATGCAAAAAGCAAATGAATAACAGGTGGGTGCAGTTTGTATAAGGCCGAGGCTCTAAACAATCAAAGTAAAGCCCACCTTCAAATAGTATCAAGAAATGTGGTTTCAATACTAGAAATCTTTGTGATAGCCTTAAAATATATTTTCATCTCTAATTATAAAATTTAAAGCTTCAAAAATAGTGTAGATCGAGCAGATCTGTAAAAATATGAAAATCTTGAAAATTGACGGTCCAAAAATGTATTACAAGATGCACTGTTTCAAAAACTTGAAATCCATTTTTTTCTCATGTCCATGCATCTTGAGGTCGAGAGGTTCAATTTGAGGATTTTGGGCATCAAAACAACCTCTTCTAGTGAAACTTTTTAGGTTAACCCTAATTTGATAGTTTAGAGCCTCGCACTTATATAAACTTTTTCCATAACAGGTAGGGTTGGTTCAAATATTTTCCTGCAATGGTTATAAACACTGATTGACAATGAAGAAATTAATAATATGCCAAGTTTTAAATATTTGAGCACAGTATTAGCTCGACACTAGACACTTCATATGGGCTTTGGTATCGCTTGTCAACACTAAGGCATGAGTAGACAGACTAAACACTGACCTGACACGTGACCGTATGTGTCAGGTGACATCATCAACTCTGAGTACCATATTGACACTTATTATAGAAGTGTTGTCCATTTTTTTATCACTTAAGATGAAGTACCCAAGCGGTAGATTGGGCAAACATCATTGTGAGGCCATGGGTTCAAGCTCCACCCATGTACACTTTTAGTGCCGTTTTTTTTAATCAATAAAACCATTTTTTTCCCTTAATTATCACCAAAATGAGGCAGTAGGGGATGAATCTCATGACCTTTTGTTAGTGCAACATTGCCACTTCCATCAAGTGCCCTCATGTTTTTATGAAAATGTTGGTGTATATATTCTACATAACTTTTAACAAAGTAAAAAGTTGGCATCTTAATGCACAACTGGATAATTGAACCCTAGACGTCTTTCTCCAATGACTCTAAAATGCACAGCTGTCATCTAGGTCACTCAAGCTGTTTTATTTACTTTTGGGAATTGCTGTATATGAACTATTTATAGAGTAATACAGCATACGGACATGTTGTGGAAGTACGGGGTCTTTGGCCCCATGTACTAGCACCTAGACATGTACGGGGTCTTTGGCCCAACGTACTAGACACCTAGACATGTACGGGATCTTTGGCCCAACGTACTAGACACCTAGAGATATACTAAATACCAACACCCATGTTGGTGTCCAGGTAGCACTGTTTTAAAGTTACATCTAGTCTCCAACCCAAAGGTATATTGGAAATGCCTGTATTGCACTAGAATCACTTGCAAGTGCATTCGCAATACGAAACAGTATGAAACAAAAAGTAATATTGTTTGCCAACAGTTAATTTCTATTTGAAGCAAATGAGATTCTATTAAAATGCATATACATGGAAGGAACTTGAGGCCAGTTTTGATAAAATATTCTATTAGCTTTAGAATGGCTGCACTAATTTTCAAAGCGAAAACCAAGAAGATACTCGAGAAATCTCTGACTCAAAAAACTCTACTGTTCAGCATTCATGGTTAAATGGGATGTGTCAAAAGAGGTGTATCCAGTAAATAGGAGGAAAACATTCAAAGCATATTTTTGGAACTAGTAAGGGGGGAAGAAAGGGTGTAATCCTTATGTCACATTTCTATTATAAAATGTTCCTTCTTCAAAGTAGTTGTTAGTACATCACAGAGAAACAACTGATTAACGTTGAGAAGGGAAACCACAACAAGATCAAAGACATGCTCATTAAACATGGGACTACCTAAATCTTAAATTTTAGACTCCCTACACCACTCAAAATCCTCTGCAGAGTAAAGGTAACACCGCAACCAACTTGTAACAGTTTGACAATTGATTGCCTTCCCAATCCATGGAGCTAATATCACTATATCAGGAAATATAATAGAACATTTTTGACACTATAAAGCATTACGGTATAAGAAAATGAGTCATAGTCAAGAATCTTAATGAAAACTATGGGGCAAAGAAGCAAGTTATACAATTCCTCTATCATAATGGAGGGCGAAAACAATTTACAAGTAGGAAATAGAGGTTAAAAAGTTTAAGAGACTCATACTTTTGATGCCAATGCAAAGGCATACTCCGCAACAACCGTTTTTCCAGCCGAAGTATGGGCAGCCACAAAGACAGATTCTCCTCTTTCAAGATAATAGATAGCCTGGTTTCACATTGTGAGAAAAAACAAAGGTAACAATATCAGTATATATTAAATTTCATTGGTCGACAATACTCATATAGCATGGGTCATAACCTTACATTGGCGAGTTTTATAAATGAAAAACTCAGGATGTATACAAGTTTTTCCTTGCATATAGTTTTTCATGTTGATTAAACAAGTAAATCATCTTCTCCAGTTGGGTAGACAACAAAGCTGAGTTTGATTCCCATCCCATTATGGGAACTTCATTTCCTTTTCTTTTTTTTTAATTCTTCGCACGAAATTTTGAAAAAACCACAAGTTTTCCAAGTTAACTATTTCACTTGATTAGTTGACTCGATTTTGGCAGTGACTGAGTCGGCAACTGAGCTCAAGCTTCAGAACGCTGCTCCAGATGATGTGTATCAACTATTAAGAAGCTCTAGGACTAGATAAAGATACAGGAAGAGTGCAGAACTCAACCTACCTCCTTTTGAAATTTATCCAATTCAAAAGGAAACTCAAGTGCCATATCTGGGACAAGTTGATGACAATTTTTTGAGATGTCTTCGGTCCTTCCGATAAGGGCCCAAGCCTGCACAAAATCAAGGTCTGCTAAATTAATGAAAAGCACATATATCTAACATCACTGACAATGAAACAAAAAATCAATCCACAAACAAGAGTGGCCTGTTGATGGAATAGAAACATATGGTGCAATGAACTAAGAACTGGTTTTTGCTCTTAAAATTCCCGAAAAGTTTACAACACCAAGTACAGCAAGTTTTGTGAGAAATGGTGATGGATATCGAGCGGCTCCCAAAATAACCAAATATAAACAATGTCAGCTTTTGCAAAAGGAAAACTAGAAGGCTTCACAAAGGGTGTTCTTACGATCAGTAAATTCAAGGTAAAAAGAAGATAATTAAGAGGAAATAAATAATCCTATGGAAACTTCTACGGAGAAGAAATCCAGAGAGAAGGTGTAAAAGTTAGAACAACTAACGGTCAAGGAGGTACACATTAAAATCTCACAGAAGATCATAGAAGTTCTGAAAAGGCAGGTGTGCACTCATTATATACCCAAAGTTGGGAGTGGAGATATGCAAAAAAATCTCACAGCAGTTACTAGAAGTTCTGAAAAGGCAGGTATGCAACATGATACACCCCAAGTCAGGAGCGCTAACAGTTGGATGACAAGAAAGATTTATATGTATTAATGGTGATACAGGAGAAACAGTGCAAGAAGGAAGGGCGATAACTTCTAGAAGTATTGGTGTCAACTGAAACAGGTATCTGGACTTTCATTCATTATATTCAAGTTGCATCTGCACCACACAAAATATCATCTACTCATGTAAAAAAGGAAACAACTAGCATATATACCATACCTCCTTATGCAGTCGATCATGGGCCTCACTATCCATCGTTGGCTTTGATCCTTCCTGTTGATCATGGAGTATCTCATCCAAAAGTATGGAATCAGACCTGGCAGGAGTACTGCAGCTTCATCTGGCTTTGATTCTTCCTGTTGATCATGGAGTATCTCATCCAAAAGTATGGAATCAGACCTGGCAGGAGTACTTGCAACTTCATCTGGCTTTGATTCTTCCTGTTGATCATGGAGTATCTCATCCAAAAGTATGGAATCAGACCTGGCAGGAGTACTTGCAACTTCATCCTCCTTTTCACCCTCAGATCCTGACATATTTGAATCTGCTTCTACAGAATTTCCTAAACAAAACACAACATTCTATCACTGGGAACCCTAGAGCTAGAAAATTACATTTTAAACAAATAGATGAATATAAAATTTGAGAACCACTTCACAGTCACAAAGATAGAGAAAGATTCTCCTAAATATCGGAGTCTAATAAGTAGTTAGAAGCAATAATACAGTTCAATCCATAAATAACTTTACGAAATGAGGCCAATCAACAAGTGTTCCAACCTGAATACCGTCAAAAGGGAAAAAAGAACTCCCACAAGCCAAGCCCCACTCTCAATGGATAAGCACTCCATCATATCAGGTTATGTTGATTCAAACTGTTCATGATCCATACAAGGAAAGGTTTTTGGTAAAGATTAGGTTAGATGGACATATATGAGGAAGGATTAAAGCTAAATAGAAAGTGGAAAAGGGGATTAATCATAAACTGCCTAATCAGAATGCATGGATGGCCAAGGTTTTTCTATGAGGAAGATGGCTCATAGAAGGTTATCAGTGAATAAAAGTAATAAAATGAGGATGATCTTTCTCAATGAGAGTAAGTAGAAGGGAACACTCAAGTAAAACCTGAAACGGTACAACAAGGTATGATAGGGAAAAATATCCTACTTTGTGTGCTATTCATTCAACAATCAACAACAACCAAAATAAAATATAATGCCAAAGCATTCGAAGCCAAATTATGTAGGGTCATAAAGCAGTCTCAAGTGAGCAAGTCTTGGTACAGAAGGGAAAGGACAACAGGAAAAGGCTAACACGAGACAACTTAAGCAATAACTACATTGAATAGGGAGTGGTAGCAGCCATCATCAATGTAGTCAAAAGGTTCTGTGAATTTAGATGGCAACCATGACATGTTTTGATATTTCTTATCTTTTGGCACGAATGTTTTTACATTCAGCTTGGCTCTTTCTTAAATTGATTTACTAACTGTAAAAGATATTACAAGTAAGCAAGGTATTTCAGAGCACCACAACTGAAATGCTATGGACGCTAAGTTCCTAGAAAAAGTTATCAAGCCACAAATGTTCAGATATAGTTGTAAAAAACCTGAATATGTGAGCTTTCCTTAGTACAACTTAATGGTTAAATATCAATATATCCACTAGGAAGAAGAAATACAAAATAAGTAGCCCGTAGTTAAAATAAGGATAATTCTAGTATTTATGAAATCTATTACCAATCATCAATCCTCAAATTATTCTCCCTGCCAAACATTCATGCAGCTAAAACAATACCAAGAAAGTTTTAGTATTAATTATTGCTTACCAACGCTCTCTTCATCACCTTCGCTTTGCACAAAATCTTCTTCCCAAGCTTTCTTAAATAAATCATCAAATTGCACAGACAACCTATTCTGTGAACAAAGAGAAAACATATCAAAAGTTTCAAGTTAAGGCATTCATAATGGTTGTCAACATGTACTGATTGCTGCACCGGCATTCAAATCGAATTAATAATTGCATTTTGAATTCCTCCGCAAATATCAAGGACTGCTTCCTTGAGAACAAGATAAGTAATAATAATAATGACATAAAAGTAAAAGTAAGGTCATTAGTCAATTTATGGGATAAGGTCCGAAGAAATTAGCAAGGGGCAGGTGTGCGGATGGTACAAGTCATTCGCGAAAAAATCCAAGTTCTTGGAAGTAACACAAGACTACCAGCATCTTTCCACACAAGGGATCTTGCATTCTTTATTTTTCTTTTTTTTTTTTCCTGAGAATGACCCTTAATGCTCTTGACAATTGGACACTGTTTAAAAACATAGGCCAGGGCTAAGAATAGCTAGGCTTTTACGCCCAAGTTACCCAATCTGACCCTATCAAGTCCCGAGACAGATTGATCATTTTTCCAACAAAAAAATTAATAATTTCTTTAAAAACCGCCACCTAGGGGCAAGTCCCAAGGTTTTACCTCTGGACTCACCAGGCCTCTGACGCAAGCTGAACCGCACGAGTCCTGACCTGAGTCAGGGAATTTTTAAACACTGATTTGACATAAGAACTTGGGAATTTTAATCAATATGCAGCCCAAACTAAAAATGTACTTGGAACATCCCACTCTGGCATGAGGTAAACTGCCAGCATAAATATAAGAAAAGTTTAGAGAATTAGTTATAAAAAATGAAATTTTATTCCTGCGACATAATACATATCATAGACAACTTTATGGCAGAAGCAATAGAGGAAGAGAGAGAGAGAACACCCTAGCAAAAGAAAGAGATCTGGGCCCTTAACAGAACATGATAGACAATTTTATGGGCAAAACTCAAAACCAATAGAGAAAGAAGAGAAAACAGCCTTACAGAAGAAAGAGATCTGGGCCCTTAAAAGAAGCATTCAGGTTATTGCTTCGAGCAGAGGAACTACTGGAGAGAACAAAGCAGCGCCCTTTTTGGAAAATCCGAAAGGGTGTGGGTCAAGTTCACTCATGAGCTCTTTGAAGACGATGTGAAATAAATTATCATTAAGTGGAAGTGCGGGATTAAGCCCCCCATAAAGTATGTTAGTAAATAATTTAAACAATACACATTATAAAGAGAGAAGCTACAAAGGTTTGTACTGAATCTATTTTAAGAACATACCATATTGTCATCTGAGGAGTTTTGTGTTGATTTTTGTTCCTGGATACTCTTCCATGTGCATGAAAATTCCTTCACAAATATAGAGATTAATTAATATTATAATAAAAGCGGAACAAAACTACTGTCACTACAAGATATATGTACAAAATTAAACATAAACGTAGAGTCCTGAGTATGTCATATATGTACCTTAAGGCTGCCAAGATCCAATCCTTGTTTGAAGCTAGGAGGAATTTCCTGAGCTGGACCACCCTCAAGAACTTCACGCACCCACTCCCCATTGCAAGCACCCTCGGGTATGTTTTGTTCGGGATTTTGAGAAAATTCTAAACCACCAGGATGAAATGGGCGACTGTTGATGCTACCTCTAACAAAGTCCTTAGCAGGACCAGGCATTCGCAGCATAGAAGAGGGATCTTGAGCTCCTTCCATTAATTCTTTTAACGCTATCTAGAAAGATACAGAGCAAAGGTCAGTGAGCGATGCAAAAAACAAAGCTTCGAAAGAATAAATTCTCTATTCACCATCTACACATTAGGATCCAATATTTGGAAAGATGGGTGATGCAAGCTTCTTTCTTAAAGAGAACCATAAAAAAAAAAAAGAGTTTTCTTCGAAAGGAGATGAAGCTTGGATGTGGATTCGATACGATATTAAAATGCACTATCGCTAAATAGCTGGGTTCTGAGCAACAATGGATAATCGTTGTGACTCATCTATTAGTTTTTGTGGGAGTGGGGATCATGAAGATTCAAAAACAAGTTTCTTCATTTTTAAAGGAATTTACTTAAGATTACATAAAACCAATGCGCAAAATTTCAAGAAAGCAACTAAAAGATGCCAAATCTTCAGGTTTCCGATAAAATTTTAATTTGACCAATGTGTAGATGCTGGTAAACGAAACTGTATCTAAAAGAACAAGAGCTCATTTTCATCATTTTTGGCCCAAATTCAGCTTGCATATCAGGTCGAAAAAAGTGAAAATCAGAGTTTTAAACTTTTAAAGACACGCATATGAAACAAACAATCAAATTCAGAATATCACATGGACTTGCTCCTTTTGGGTTGAAATTTCAAAATGGATTTTAGATTCTCCTCCATAGCCTAAATACTACAGACAACATAGAAACTCAACATCCATTTTGCAAATCTCAGAATTCAAAATTTCCTATTACAAAGATAAGTGAAAGAGAAAGAGAGGAGGCGAAGAGGTAAAAGCATGCAATTAAGGTACTTTTTGTGAATTCGGGATCCATGTCTTCTCAGACAGTTGGCATTTAAGAGGAAACTCATTCATTTTGCCTTCATTCTCTGCAACTCCCCTCTTACTGCGCTTAAAAGGTAGTTCCCACAATGGAACCACCATTGACCTTGGCACTGATGGTTCAAGGTGCACCTTCGCCTTATTAAACCAGTCAAAATCCCACTGTTTACCGCACTTTTCTGGTGAAAATTCATCACTATCCAATTCAGGAAAGAGGAAATCATCCTCCAAATCCTTCTTAATGGTTTCTACATCCTCTGGCTCCAATGCATGGGCCTATATAATTTCAGACATCAATCACAATACCTAAATTCATGCAATCTTGAAAAAACTCACGAAGTTCCAATCTCAAAATGAAGCTCAAAACCCCAAATTCAATAAATCTTCAGGAAAACCCATCTTTGGAGTTCCAGCCTCGAATAGAAACTCAAATCCTAAATTCAAGAATCTCTAGGAAACTGATATTTGAAGCTTCAATTTCATAGAAACAACTAGAATTTGAATTTTCTGACTTTGGTTTCAGTTGAACCAAATGCAGAACCAAAAAATGGGATTTCATATAGCACGCCATGATTCAAACCTTATTTAATTTATCAATAACAAACAGAGATAAATTTTGAACTTCTGACCAGAATGGCAAAGAAATTCCGAGTAGTGGGTCGACGGAAGTTTAATCAAATATCAAAGCTCTCAATATCAACAAAAATTTCTACAAATCCAAATAAATTCTGTCCTAATTCAGTGACATTTTTAGTTGCAGCGATGCTGAGCAGTGCAATAAAGCTTACTAACCAGGACAAGATTAGACAGCGAGTTTAGCACATTTGGTCGATCAAATGGTGGAAGAGGCTCAACTCTGAGATGACCACTGTATCCAGTGAAGTTGACACGAAAAGCAATCTCATTTGCCGGAGAGATCCTCTCCATTGCTGGTTCTGGAGCACAATTGACGACGATCTCATGAGAATTTCTAGAGAAACAAGACCAGGAGGACCAAAACAAGTACCCTTGAATATAAGGAAATAGAGTGAGTGTGTTCTAGAAATGCTTGGCCTTAGAGAGAGAATAGAGATGTGAGAGAATGCAAAAGCAACCGCAACAGTTGAGCTTGGCCCTAGAGAGAAAGAGAGATTGGCCGTGAAGAAGATAGAGAGAATACAACTTAGCCTTGAAAAGAGAGAGAAAGCTTGGCCTTGAGAAGAACCTAGAGAGAGAAAGCTTGGCCTTAAGAGAGAGAGAGATTGGCCGTACAGAATGGAAAATAATGGAGAGAGAGAGCTTGGCCTTGTGAAAATATCTAGAGAGAGAAAGCTCGGCCTTGAAGAGAGAGAAAGGTGGATTTAAAAAGGCGGGAGGAAGAGAGAAGGGCCATGGTTTGCTTCTCTAACGAGGAGAGAAGTGAGAGGCCCAAAAAGAATAAATTAGTTCCGGACGGACTCCTTTTTACGGAACAGAAACCTAAGGCCCCACAGTCACCGTTTATTCTTGCGTCTGTGGGTGTGATGAGTTGTTCCTCTTTTTCTAAGGCACTTGGATTCTAATTCTTGGTTTCTGTGAAGCCGAGGTCTTATATAAAAAAGCAAAATATCGCTTTAAAAACTCATATAACAAAATTAAAAAAAAAATTATATACGATTGCACCATAAAATCCATAAAAAAAAGTTATTTTAAGGTTGAAAAACCCTCTAATTAATCATCTTGACATCGACATATATAAATATAAAAAAATAAAAAATATTTTGAACCTTAAAAATAGTGCACCTTGCAATACAATATCCAGGCCATGCATTTTAAAAAAAATTATATGTTTATAGGTCTACTTGATTTTAACCATTTATTGAGTTTAAAATTTTATAATTAGATATAAAAATAGATTCTCAAATAATTCTAAGAATTTTTTAGACCGAAATTACATGCTATGATAAATTTAGAGGTGCACCTTAATTGGATTTTTAAAGTTTCAACCTTATAGAAACCACACCAAAAAAAAAAAGTAGGTTTTTAATGTGGAAAATGGTTCGATAGGGATGCAGCCCCTATCAAAAGCAACCAAACCACCACCTCTTAAGTCATCAAAAATTACAATTCCATCATTAGAAAACCTTTACATCGATTATCTCGGCTTTAACATTATGGCTGTGAAAAATTTTAAGATTTTAAGCTCTAAAAATAGAGTATATTGTAACAAATTATCTAAATCGTCCATTTCACTCTAAAAATAAGGGTTCACATATCCGCAAGATTTGTACCATTTTTTTAGTTTCAATTTTTATTGTTGGTGTTGGGAATTAATTGTATAGCCATCATTGAGATTTTCTTTGGCGAAAGTGTTTTATGGACGAGGATATGAGAAGAGGATTTATTTTATTTTCATAAAGCCTAGGCCTTACAGAAACCCCATCGTACATAACTTTATGATGGTTCAAAAATCAACTTTTGCATCTATGAAATTTGAATATTAACAAAATGGTAGAGGGCCACGAATATGTAGATAACGTTATGATGGATAAAAAATCAATTTTTACGTCCAATTATGATATTTGAATATTAGAAAATGGTAGGCCACGAATATGTGGAGATAGATAATATGTTGCAAGATATATTGTATCCGTGACTTTGTCTTTTCTCGTATCTATAGTAGTACAGGTTGAAATGATTAATTTACATGTTTTCGAATACCAAAACTCCAAATTTTGGTGAGATTGATATGAGGCTTTACGTTTTTTTTAAATACCCATCAAAATACACATAACTTTGAGTTGGAATAGTAGAAAATGGTAAAATGTTAAATAATTGGAAAAGAGGCATATTTGGAAAAAATTTCCATAATTTAATTGGGTGATATTTTGTGATTATGAGTGAGATACATTGGGCTAATGTTGATATAATTACACATGCCACTTGTCTGTGTCACGGGCATGTACAATGCTGATGAAGAAATGACTAGATAAGGTGAGTAGCCGGTTTTTTGGAGCTCTAATGTTTTAAACATCAGACTAACCAATTGATTTCTAAGCTCCCAAACGCCTCTGTAATTCGAGGAAATTAAAAAATATGACAAGATTTTTACGAGTCCTAGGACTCGCATTAAATATGTGGCTTCTCTCTTTAATCTATTTCTAATATGGAATTTGGACCTTATATTTTAGATTTGTATAATCTCTAATCTATTGAGGACACAATTTCTATGCGGTCAGCCTGCATATTGTATAAATAAATATAATTTAATCCTAATTTTTAGAGAATACACAATATTTAACATGGATATCATGAATATGAGGGAAAAAATGGAAACTATAAATGATAATTATATTTTTGAACCGTTAGTTGCACTTGTTTTTAGATGTAACACATATCTAGCTCCATCTTTGAGATGGATGCTTTATACCTTTGGACTGCATATTGTAAAAATGCGATCCAACTCACATGAAACAATTTTCCATCTATTAATATACAAAAAAAAACTTTAAAAGCAACAAAAAACCATTGTTTGGATAAATTTTTTGAACCTTTGTATTTTATTCTTTTAAGATGGACCATAACTTTACATCCATCTTAAAGATTTATGTTTGATATCTCGGATAATGTAGAAATGCGTCCCCTGACATGATCATCATAAGATTTTTTTCTAATTATTTGGGGTCGGATACATATTGAGGTCATAAGTCCTCATGTTTTTCCGCACTACTTTAAACCATTTATTTTTGGGCCTACTCTTGCCCCTTTCAGTCATTCCACTTGAACTAACTCGAACTTCCTAATAAATGATGTACTTGGTTATAGCCACACATGGTCAGCCCACCCAAGTCTATTATCTCTCATCTTATCGCCTATTAGTGCCACACCTAATTTATCCCAAACGAATTCATTTAGAATTCTATCATTTATTGTCTTGCCACTCATCCATCTCAACATCATTATCTCCGCTAGACTCTTTCTTTGGGTATATTGTTTTTTGTCCATCCAACATTTAGCCCTATAGAACAATGTTGGTTTCACAATTGTGCTATGGAATTTGTCCTTCAACTTCATTGGTATGCGACGACCACATAAACTTCCAATTGCACGTCTCCACTTTATCCACCCAACTCTAATTTTTTGTACGACATATTCCGTAATCTCTTCATTTTTTTGGATTATCGTCCCCAATATATCAAAAGTGCAGTCCTTCTTGTATTTTTTGACCGGAAATCTTAACTACTTCCTTGTCTCTACTCTAACTATTACTAAACTTGCATTCCATATACTTTGTCTTAGTCGGACTATTTTTTTTTTTTGACAAAAGTTCAAGAATATTATTAAAATATCAACAAATTACATCAGGAAATTACATCGTTAGAAACCATCAACTTTGTAAGGGAGGTACCAATTTTCGCTAGATTGTCCTCCAGATCATTAGCTTGAACAACGGAAAAAAGAAGTGCGGAAGAGAGATCTAAGACCTGAAGCAAGAGTTATCGCAATTCCCAATGAGGCTTCTTAACCTTATTGTACTAGTCAATGACATTAAGAGAGTCACCTTCAACTATACAGCTAGACGTTATGTTTCTGGGTTTGAAAATCTTCAACCCATATAGAAGGGCAAAGATTTTAGCATAATTAGCTATTTTATCACACAAAGGGCCAACATTGGAGAACACAATGTTGCACTCGCAGTCTCTCACAACTCCACCATACCCTGCAAGGTTCGGATTACCAAGGGAACTCCCATCCAAGTTAAGTTTAAGCACCCTACTAGGCGACGGAGACCATCGAAATTTAGGCCTGCATTTACGAATACCCAATTGGAAAATATTGCAAAGGTTAAACCTAACATCAATTTCCACAATGTCCTTCCCAAACTTAGAAATAGATAAGAATTCCAGATAAAGTGTTGAATTTTCCCCAAAACGAAATCCTAAGAACAACTCGTATCCTCAAATACTCTTCTATTTATTTCCTTCCAAATCTCCCAAAGAGTTACCTCCTTATCAATTTGCCAAATAGTTGATCCAATGGGAGGCAAAGTAGGCACTGATAAAGCCCCCAAAATACCTTTGACCAAAGGAGATACTACAAGGGGCACCCCAAGCTGTCTAAAGAACCACCTCCAAATCTTTGCAGAGAAATAACAATGTAAGAACAAATGTGCAGAAGTTTCACTATCCGCTTTACTGAACAAACAGATATTAGGCAAGATTTTACCTCTCAGAATGAGATTATTCATGGTCAAGACTTTGTCTTGTACTACTGGCTAGGCTGGATCTTCAGAGGCAGAAGCAACTTCCATATCATGGCAATATTCGACACGGACCACCGCCATCGATCATGAAAGAGTAAGTGCTACATAGCTTTCACCAAGAATAATCCATCTTTGGAAAGGTCCCACACAACTTCATCCTCTGCCATTTGTGAGATATAGACCTCACTTAAAGCAGCTAGGAGTTCAGAAAACTGATTGAGTAACTCATCCGAGATACGGCTGTAGTGAAGACAAACCTGCCACTCAACCTTATCACCCCTTAAAATGAATAAATCTCGAATAACTACATCGCAGTTTTCAACCATTTGGAATACCAATGGAAAGACATATTTTAAAGGATAATCATTTAACCATTTATGATGCCAAACGGAAATATCAGTCCCCTCTCCATGTAACCAGTGAATATCCATCTGGATTAAGGATTTGCAAAAAGTTATTGCTTTCCAACAAGGCGACATGTATCTCGAATTCCTTCCTACCCACATATTGAATTTATCCTCCCCGTATTTAGCAGCGACAATCTTATACCATAAATGGTCATGGAACTTGAGACTCCACCACCACTACTTACAAAGCAATGCCTGATTAACTAAATTAATTTTCCTCACTCCGAAACTGTCACACCCCATGAATTTACAATATTATTATTCCTGAGATGTGACGGACAAAACATATATACATCTATTGATAGGACAAATTTACAGTGGCGAGGTCTTACATAGTAAATAAAGAAAGCTAGCACAACAACAGTATCTTCCAAGGTTGATCTTGACTAGCACTCAAAATGAATCCGTAGTTATCCTGAAAAAATGTTTACCATAGTTTGATGAGTTTGGCTACTCAGTAAGTGATCATCATAATCCTAAAAATAATCATGATTGAAAGATATCAATATTTTCCAAAATGAGATCTATTAAAAGAAATGCATCAACAGTTTCACTTTCAAT